TTGCGTGTTGAATCGCTGCTACGGAAACGTGTTTACAGCGCCGTTGCCTAGCAATGACCGCCTCTTCCCGTTCCACCATTCCGGCCTTCGGTAATCATGTCACAGCGTTAAGATAGCCTCACACTAAGAATCTAGGAGCTAATGGGATGACGTAACATGTTTAACGTACCGTTTCTCTGCGTACATTCTACCGAAGACAGACAGACCACAACGAAGAACATGCGTCTTACCTGAAACAAAGAACACAGTGTGAGATGTGAGTGCGGACAGCGCTGCGTTCTGCGGCGTTACGAAGTGCAAGCCGGTACATGTGGCGCCTCCAGCTTCAGGGTCGCAGAATAACCCGGACAAGTTGCAAGCGTATTTTGCTTGTTACTATAGGATTCTGACGATGGTGTATAACACACTGATATATTGGATTTTTGGACTTTATCCATCGTCCTGGTTTTTAAGATAACAAATAAAAACACGACGTTTCGGAAACTGGATCTGTTTCCGTCCTCAGGTGAAGGAAAGCACCTAACGTTCTAACGGACCCAACAGAATAGGTGCTTTCCTTCACCTGAGGACGGAAACAGATCCAGTTTCCGAAACGTCGTGTTTTTATTTGTTATCTTAAAAACCAGGACGATGGATAAAGTCCAAAAATCCAATATATCAGTGCGTATTTTGGTTGCTTCGTGTACTCTTCGACCCTTAAGATGGAGAAGGTAAGCTTTTCCGAAACGTCTGTAAGCTTGTGTCGAATTACACGGCGTAATGTCCCGGACGATAGTACCCTTTGCAGAAAATATTACACGTTCATTACAGACATACCTCGGAGGTACTGCGGGCCATCGCAATGAAGCGAGTCGTATGAAAGTTATGTTCACACTAAACTGTAGTCTATTAAGTCTACATGTCTAAAAAATGTACATAACTTAATTACAAATACTTTATTGCTACGAAGTGCTAACCATCATCTGGGCTTTCAGCGGGTCTAACCCTCCTGCTGCTGGAGGGTCTTACCTCGATGTTGGTGGCTGCCGACTGATCAGGCTGGGGGATGCTGAAGGTTGGGGTGGCTGCGGTAATTTCTTAAAATAAGACAACAGTGAAGTTCGCCTAATCGAGTGACTCTTCCTTTCTGAACACACGCAGTATTTATCTGTTACGTTCGCCGTCTTATATTGGCGCGGTTCGTGGCGCCCCAAAATAATTACAACAGTAACATCAAAGATCACTGATCACATATCACCAAGACAGATGTAATAATAATACAAGTGTTCGAAACATCGCGAGGAATTGTCAGAATGTGACACAGAGACACGAAGTGAGCCCACGCTGTGGGAAAATGCCAGTATACAAACATAAATGTCACAGAGGAATTCGAGGGACCGAATATATGTGCAGTCCATATACTGGAGAACATATCTAGACTTAAGAGAAAGTAAATAACAGGAACTTCTTAACTGTACTTTACAGCTGGACGACCAGAGACTTGGGGTTCGGTTTCCGGCGGAGGCAAAGCAACCGACGCGCACATTGACAGAGGCCTCTTCCTCGGGTGCATAGAAATCGTGGCAAGAAACTGACGACTCACCTCAATTAAATGCCGAGGGTAGGAATGTGTGGAGCTCTACCTCCAATATTTCTCACGTCTTAATGGCGAGGTACTTAATTAAGCACAATTACAACTTAACCTTCCAATTTAGCGCCAAATATATTAGGGTGATCAAAATAAAGACGGTGAGATTGGCGGAACAACTAGCATGCAAGAAAACGCTAAGTCCCCATGAAATTTTATTCCGAAAATCTGAAAGGAAGGAACTAATTTTGAGACCTAGTCGTTGATGACATGATAATATTAAAATAAATATTACAGAAAGTTTGCGAGGGTGAGGAATGCATTCAGCTGGCTCAGGATAGGATTTGTTGGGTGAGAGGGATAGTGTGGATACTGCAATTAACATTAACAGTTCTATCAAAGGCCGATAAAAGTGGCGCGCGGTCTAAGGCACGAACTGTCTTCGCTCGCTCGAAAGCTGGAATAGTGGGTTCGAATCCCATTCAAGGCATGGATGTCTGTACTGTGTGCATTTATTCTTTGTTCTGTGTGTAGCTAGCGGCCTTGCGACGGGCTGATCTTCTGTCGGAGAAGTCCTACCGACTGTGTATAGGATCAAGAAACTGAAAAAGCGGCCAAGGCCCAACAAAGGGCTGTAGGGCCATAATAATAATAATTCAATTCAATTCGTGTTTGTTCACGTGTAAACTTAAAAGCACAGAGGCCAATAACAAAGTTGGCACGAGTACATAGAAATACAGATATAACTAAAAGACGAAATACAAATACGACAGACTATATAATGGCATTAAATTAATAATAGTTCCAAGAAAAATTAAAGTTAGCATTAACAGGCGAGAAAATGAAATAAATGCATTTCGAATGGTTATTCCATTATGTGGTGAGAAAGGACAATACATACACACACATATATAAGTTAATAATAATAATAATAATAATAATAATAATAATAATAATAACCCAATTAATTCTTATTTATTCCTGTGGCAGCTCAACATCCTAATTCAATTCAATTCATGTTTATTTACGTAAAACTTAACAGCACATAGACCNTTCCAAGAAAAATTAAAGTTAGCATTAACAGGCGAGAAAATAAAAAAAATGCATTTCGAATGGTTATTCCATTATGTGGTGAGAAAGGACAATACATACACACACATATATAAGTTAATAATAATAATAATAATAATAATAATAATAATAATAATAACCCAATTAATTCTTATTTATTCCTGTGGCAGCTCAACATCCTAATTCAATTCAATTCATGTTTATTTACGTAAAACTTAACAGCACATAGACCAATTAAAAAGTTAGCATGAGTACATAGAATTACATAAAAATAATTAAAAAACAAATAAAAATTTGAGAGTCTACATGACAATAGATTAATAATAATGCAAAGAAAAATTAAAGTTAACGTTAACAGGAGAGAACAATAAAATGAGACCACATACACAGAAGTAATATTAAGAGTATCATTAACAAATATTATTAACAATTTTAGGTTCAGTGTCACTGACAGAAACTGTTCCGATTGCAAATATGTCGAGATCTTTACCCACCGCGTTGGCAGCATAGGCGCACCGAGCAGAAGGACAGTGTTTATGAGAGGGACAAATACCAGACAATGACAAGTCCCTAAGATTGCTGGGAGAAACACGAAGGCCAACGTTTTCCAAAAGAGAAGCGCAGGATTTAAGACCCTGAAAGACCTGAACAAGGAAAAGTGCATCAAGGTGATGTCTCCATTTATGTAAAGATTGCAGACTTAATTTCTCTAAAGCATCAGTATAAGCATATGGAATATGAGGGGAAAAACGATAAAAACAGACGGACGCAAACTTCTGCTGGATGCGCTCAAGCTTATTGGCATTAGTCGAGGTGATGGAGTTCCAAACTACTGAGGCATATTCCAACTTGGACCTGACTAAAGTAAAATATAGTACATACAGACTCTCCATGGAGGAAAACCTGTAGGTAATGGAGCGAATAAGGCCTAAAAGCTTTATGCATTCAGAAAATATGTAATTAACATGTGTGTGAAAATGTAACTCTGAATCAAAGAAAACACCCAGGTCCTTAGTACTGCTGGTGCGTGTAATGATATCAGACAAAGCTGATACCCGTAGCTCAGAAAATTTGTTTTTCTGGTGTATGATACAACACGCGTTTTAGCAATATTAAGTTTCATGGAGTTAGCAGTGCACCAGTCACTTACGGAATTAATGTCAGATTGAAGAGGCCATCATTAGGAGAGTTAATAATGCGTAGAATTTTTAGATCATAGGCAAAAATTAGAAATGTACAGTAGTTAACGGAATAGCATAGGTCATTTATAAATACGTTGAAAAGAAAAGGCCCCAGAACAGAGCCTTGCGGCACCCCGGACTTTACATGAAAAGGCAGGAAGAGAGTGCCAGAAACGCGAACGCGAGACTGTCTGTGGGTTAAGTAACTGCGAAACCAGCTAACATAAGCATCAGAGAACCTGAAGGAGCTTAATTTATGCAAGAGCATATTATGCGGGACGGGGTCAAAAGCATTAGAAAGATCAAAATAGACGGCATCAGCTTGACGCTGACCGCGGACAACAGGCGTCAAGAAGTCGAGAAACGTCACCAAACTGGTAACTCTAGATTTAGTTCTGGTAAAGCCATAATAATAATAATAATTATAAATTTTATAAAAGGAGGCGAGTGTCTTGAAAAGCTGCGAACTTCTCACCGAGAGTTCTACATGTTATTAGGTACGACCCTTGATTGACATAGGCCAACTTGGAGAGCATCATTCTGGGCTTGAACCGTAATCATCATAATCATCTCCTTCTTCCTCTTATTCGAAGTTTCTTCCCTTCAAGAGCCCTTGCGCCCAGCTTCCTTCTCCTGCGGCTTTCTGCAACTTCTGCGGACAGGTTTCGTTCCCGTGTTTATTTTCTTATATCCTAATTACGGACTTTCCGCGGTCTGTCCCTTTTCCTGCGCTCTCTTGGGATTCATTCAAACGCCTGGGGCGCTAAGTGGGGCTCTTCCATTAGAGGTACATGCCCACACCACATTAGTCACCTCTCATCTATCTGATATCGTTGTTTTTCTTTATTTCAATGTCTTCTCCAATTACCTCATTCCGGACTTTAGCCATGGTCTAAATTTGCATTATGACATCAGGAAAATATTTCATCGAAACTAGACTGCTACATGAATACATAAAGTAAGATAATAATATTTTTTTGCTTTCTAAAAACTCCAATATAAAACAACAAAAAATATATGCACGATATTATGCATAAAACTAATGTTAAGACGATAATAACTCTATGCGCATGTTACATAACGTTCTTATCAAAACGACATATTTGTTCATCGAAACGTCATGTTTACCGTTAAACCGTGCAATATAACTTGATCACGAGGCAGAGCCAATGGGATATTTCGCCGCATGCTCAAAGTGTAATAAACGCGTAACAGATTCGCAGTCTCGGAGTATGTCCCACTATTTCAGTCACATACGGAGACAGCCAGGCAATGGAGGGTGTTCCTGTGGCAACAGTTTCGTCATACAAAACGTACACACAGCAGCAGGCCCCAGTACAGACGGGACAACGCAGGAGCAGACGCGCTCAGTACATTGCGGCAATCGTAGGTGAGTCAGCTTTCCTCTCAGTGACCTCTTCCTCAGCGTGGACCTCATAGAGAATCAAACGAAATTACGAAATCTGCTCCGTACCTCTGCCAATATGTACGGCAGCCATGCCTCTTATCTGAATCGTCATTCTCAGTTACATGTGTGGACTTTCAGTTCTTATTTCGAGAGTTTTAGTTTTCTTTTAAACTTTATCTAACAAACATATAATGAGATATTTATAAGAAAACTTACAGATGTAAATTTTCTGCATCCTCTCGCGGACATAACATAAAACACAAAGATACTGTCACGTTTATTCATGACTATAGACGGGGTTTCGATTGGTGGATAAATATACTGACCACTTATTGGCAGTAGCTACAATTAACTATAACACTATTGCTGATTTTCACGCTACAAATCACTCCACACTAAGTTTTCTCGGTCTATTTTCACTAGATTTTACTTGGTAACCGCTTTCCACAACTACTATTCCTCTTAAGTGTCTTCACTAGACGTTTCCTGGTAACGAATCTTAGCAATGGAGATTCTTCAGCTTCCGCTGCCCGCTGGTTAACACTCCACAGCTGAACCCTCAACTATCCCGCAGCACCAACTCTCTTCAAGATAACTCCTCCGCATGGATCACGCAGAAAACACAGCCTCTATTGTTGACGACGCGCGTCTACGCGCCGTTGCATAGCAACAGAAATTATTCCTTTGATACTCGCGTATTTGTTGCCGCGGGAATATACGTATATTACCAAGTCGTTGTGTAGCAGTAAACGTCTATCCTGCCTTCACTATGCCGACTTTCGGGTGTCATGTCACATTATTATAAAAAGTGCTTTTGACTGCTTCCAATCACAGTTGTTAAAACGATGAGCAAATATTACTTCTTCGAAATCTATTTTGAATGAAGCAAGTAAACTTTAATTTCTTATTTTGAGTTATTCCTTGTTTAAAGATTTAACTAATATGTACTAAGACCAGCAGTACATACAGAACTTCCCGGTTTCCTTCAGCGGACCTAACAGAGAACAGAAAATGATAGTATGAAATTCACTTCTTACTTTTGCCAGTATACACGGTGGCCACCGACGTGCAAGTATTGTGGTAGAATTTTTGGATGCGATTCAAGTCCTTCACTATTTACCGCCCGACTAACTGATAATATCTTACTTAGTATGAGAGTTGTAGCTGCTGTGTGCTGTGATGCTGATGACATGTGGCGAACAACAATTATTTCGTCGTGCTACTACATAAATTATTATTTTTCAACTGACGAAATAAGACTGGAGAATTTTTCTCCTACGAAGCGTACACAATTTTTTTAAACCCATTGCGATCTTCGCTGATCACAACTTTCATATACTGCAGATACGAACATATTGCGAAAAAAAGCTAACTGAACTCAGGACATCACAATGCAGAGATACTGCAGTTCTCTTCTTTACGAGCCCCTAAACCAACGGCCAAAAGATGGTTCGGTCACTGGCCTACAGGGGTAGTATTCGCGAGCTGGGCGCTTGTCAAACTGAAACTTGAAAGACAAGCGTTCAGAATGAAATGTCGTGTTGCATTCCTACACCATATTGCAATTGGGAATGGAGATGTTCTTTGCAAAGCAGTAAATATGAAATGTCGTGTTTTACTCGCATCTCATATTACAGAACTTCAAGGTATGCAATATTCTTCGTGGAGTCGCGCTGTATCGACATGCATATTTCATCCTACACGTACACGGAACATCTAGACAGAGCGACGTACAACTCCTCTTAGGAAAAGAGCGGTTTAGGTCTCGAGATTAAAATTCCAACTACATGGTGATTCGTATAGAATCGGCCCGACGAAATGAGGTGTAATATAAAATATACCATACAGATATTAAAGTAACTTACATATATGTTATCTTGGATTGTGTGCCGTGATCAGAGCAGGTGTTGAAAGTGTCCGCCGTTTTCAAGTAGGCATTAGAAACACTCGCTTTTCAACAGTGAACTCCATGACTGTCGCCTGCGCACTGCAGACACGTTTCGGGATTGTCCTTGACCTTGCAGCATAAGGGCTGCCATCATGCACACACCATTCGACTCAGCACGGCCCACGGATTATTACGTCGTAATTGTGGGCGGTTATATGCATCACCTGCGGAATTATTAGCAAATTCATCGGGCCCGTTCTATACGAATCACCCTGTATATCAAGCGGTGACTTTCACGCTACAACTGCAGGAACGTGTCACCCATACACAATCCTAACTAGGCGTATCGCGCCATTTGTTATCATACTCTGCGGTCAGATTATGAGAAATTAGGCCATCAAGTGGCGCCCCCATCGGCGTTCCCGTGAACTCCCAGCAAATGAAACCGACACGGAGCCAATGTTACGTGGAAGAAGAAGAACCGGACGTGTGATTAGAAGAGTTTAAGTGTGGTAGTCAGTGATAGTTTGTGATAACTGAGAAGGTATTGGGAGTGGGTAATTCAGTGACACTTGTATAGCTCCCGCGTTATAAATACGTGAAGACTACTGACGAGAGAGTGAAGAGATTACTGTGTAGGATTTGTAAAGTGTGCAAACCGGCAAGAGTGTTATAATCAATTGTAGTTACGACCTGCACGTTGTTAAATAAATCAATTAACAATCTGAACGGCGTCTTCAGTAGACAAAACACATTACACTTGTGTCAGAATTGGTTTCGAACTTAAACACGCCTCGACGAATGATTGAATTTACGAGTGCATAAAGTGTTATCCTGCCAAAAAAAAACGGATACACAGCAAATGTTGAAATTGCTGCTGGCCAGGATGGAAACTATCCATATTCCAATTTTGAAATTTTAGTGAGGGATATGTCTAGAACAGTATGTATTTTAATATGTAATATTGACCTTTGGCACATTTTAACACAATATTCGAGTCATAACCCGAACTATAAACTCAAATTGGAATTTGGATTGTAATGTTATTGGTAAATGTAAAAAATGACTCAATTTTGATAATTCAATAATGACATGTGTGTTCGTAGAACCACGTGATGATGACTTCTGCAGAGCGAATATGTAGTGGGATGTAAATAAACTGACACGAATACTAAATATTTTAATATCGATTAATAATGAACTGCTTATTGACGGCTCTCCATTATACCAGAAATAAATGGAAGAAATTTCGCAATCAGAATTTGAATAACATCCAGAAAACTTACGGCAATATTTATACATAACTTTAACAGCTGTGAATCCGTGCACATTAGAAGAGTATAAAGTAAATTCCATATCATTGTGACGTGCCGTCCATCACTGGTCAACGGCTAGCAATTCCTAGGCAGCAATGCCTAGGAAATCATTGCTCCAGAGATGAAAATCCAACAGTGGGGACTCCACCGTCTTTTGTAACGAAATGTATTCCCGCGGCAACAAGAGATTCGTTTGCATAGCAGCGGGCGAAACTAAATCCTTCGACAAGGTGTTCCCTAATCAGTCCGAGTGCAGGATATAACAGTTCGTATCCGGCAAGTGACCAGTTAGTTCGTATCTGTAGTTACGTACAGCTGAGCTCCGAGCAGAAGACACTTCACCGAGATTAGGGGTGCGAGAGTGTATAACACTGAAGAGGAGTCGTCTGGAAACGTTATAATTGTGAATAACTGTATTTGTGAGTGTAAAGAGTGATCGTTCAATAAATATTCGTCCAAATCCGAGACCCAAGTAAATTTTCTTATCGCTGTGCTTAAGAAACAAGCGACAATATCTTTGGATAATCTCTATTCGGTCAGCTGTAGGAAAGGGAACTTAACGGTAGTTATATTTTTAAATCTTGATTTTCTGAATTAAAATCAAATGTGAAAACCTTTAAAATTTTCTCTAAAATTTAAATTTAAAATTTAAAATTGTTAGGATTACTCGCCCTATGTCTAAAGTGCTGCAGCGGCTAGTTCTTGTTTCCACACTGTACAGGTATTATTCTGTGTGGTCTTCCTGTGTGCGTGCCGCTGCACGTGTAGTAATTTAATCTACATACCAGACAGATATCAACGAGGTAGATGTTGATAATAACGAAGAAAATAACAATGTGTTTTTAAATGTTAAATTTTAGACTGGGTTCAGTGTGGCAGCAACGTAAGAGTATACATCTGATGATGGCCGTTAGAGGCCGAAACATGTAGTGTAGAAGAGAGCAAGATCAAAGACATATAATATATATTGTTTGCATTTGGGACGGAGTTTGTGTCATTTGTCGTGTAGAGTGCAACAGGATGCTTAAATATAATATAATAATAGTGAAAACTTAACTACAGCCAACTATTTTTATATACTATTATGCATCTTTTTGTGTCTATAGATTTAAGGGTTTTTATGTCGTCACAAAACATTATAAGCGATTAAATTAGAATATATCGATAGATCAGTCAGTTTACTAGACTGGCTATTACATGTTGCAGAAGTGGTTGACAACCATCAGTTTCCTGTTTATGAGGCCCCCGTGTCTAATTATTGTAATCTATTCATTTTCACTCTAGTCTTACGAGCAGGACGAACGGGCGAGGCCTGGGAACCTCCTAGTACAGCGATACTCCTCCCTCCCCGCAATAAAATGACCCTACTTTTTCTCAAGCTTTTTCACTTTCAGGTATTTTTCTGCTACACTTTCCACATCTCTTTCCGTTTGTAAATACAGAGTGGTTTTATATTACTGTTGGGGATTCCATGGCCTATAATTTTCAAAGTGGCAAAATAAAATAAAACTGCTTACGGAATATGAAAATGTAACTAAAAAATTATAGCGCTGCCAAATGAAACTTTTCAGAGTTACATTTTCATATACTTGCATTTTATTTTGTTGCTTCCAGTTTGAAAATCATAGGTCACGGAACCCCCGACAATCATTTAGAACCACCCTCTATAATACCCGAAAAATCGCTAAAGATTTCTGTCTCCTCCTCCAACTGAAACCCAGATCACAGCCCATGTTAGCTTTGTTAACATTTGCTTGTACACTGAATGATCACCTTTT